GTTTCAACATTTTTATAACACGTAGATTAGAAATTGCATACATTTACTACATTTTATCCAAGTTTAAGGTACATATTTTCAAGATTTTTATATTTTACCCAATTGTATTATGCATAGGGAGGGGGGAAATGTAGGCAGATAGGGTCCGGCGAACGGAAGATATCGCGTTGTACGGAAAGGTAGAGCCCCCTTTCCTTGTAATTTTATTAGCCAATAGTGTATTAGCCTAATTTGTTAGCGTAAGCAGACGGATGTGACGTTGTAAAACCTGAACCATATAACACCTTGCTGCGTAGCAATAAACGCCATTTGCCGTCCACCACATTGGTGTCAGTGAGCTAATGGACCGAGCGGCCTGTGGATGGGTGCCGTGCCGTTCCTGAACCAGGGCGACGGGGCTTCAAAGGCAACACTGCCCCATCACCTCCACCAGTAGCTCTGCCCTTTCCTTTCCCACCACAGGGTACCAAAGCCCCAACTGCCAGGGGTGGGTTACCCCAAAACCCCTTTATTGTAGTGATGAGGAACACGGCTCAGCTTTGCTGAGATCAGGTGTTGCTTTCTGTATTAACAACAACCCCAACTTTTATTGCTCATGACACCTGAGGTGAGAGGGAACACGTTGGGCGTCAGCAGGGAGGGGCTGAAAGCAGGGCAGGCAGATCCCTAAAGGATCTACACAGGAAACCTGGGAATTTCTCTCTTTGGCTTCTTACTTCCATCTGTTGGGAAGGGAAAAAGGCAGGACAGAACCAGGAGGGGAAGGTAGAGACCAAACAGGCCAGAAAAAAATATACATAAAGAAAGGAGTGAGATTAAAATTACAACCCAAGCTGCTGGAGGGTATGAGAAATGTAATTGAAGAGGGAGAGGAATCTGAAATTTAATTAACTTAGGGAGGTAAAGAGCAAATTGCACCTGCTGTGAGGGCAGGAGGGCACCAGCAGCGTCGCCCCGCGCTGCCAGCGGAGGCCAAACGAGTGTTTCGCCAGACCAGCTTGGCACACCCACTGCAATCCCTGTTCCCGTGCTGCCTTACCAGAAAAACTGCTCCTGATTGCACCTTCCCCTCAGGCCAGGGCCAAAGAATGCCCAGGAACACAGTCCTGGGCCTCCCGGTCCACCTAAGGCTGCCTTCAGGTCCAGACCTCCACATCTTAAACAGGATCCCAGTAGCATCCCAGTTGGACCTGGGGTGGGATGGGGATCCAGTGTGGGAGGCTCACCCTGTGCTCACAGGACACCAAAGGTGCCTGGAAGATGAAGTCCCACCAAGGGGTTTGGTGCTGCCTGGGGTTTGGCTGGGGAAACCTGAGAGGCTGTGGCTGCCCCATCCCTGGAAGTGTTCAAAGTCAGGCTGGACAGGACTTGGAGCACCCTGGGCCAGGGGAAGGTGTCCCTGCCCATGGCAGGGGTGGGACAAGATGAGCTTTAAGGTCCTTCCAACCCGAACCATTCCAGGATTCCGTACCTGCGCAGATGAAGCTCTGTGAGTCCAGGCCCTTCTCCATGGGGATGGCCACCAGATATTGCAACAAGAAGCCGTTTTCCTTCACAATGCTCTTCAGGACGACCTGGGAGTGCCCGTCCAAGCTGCCACCCAGCGTCAGAGCCTCCTCTGCACTCTCCAGGTAGGACATGAGCACCTCTCGGACCAGCTCCCTCCACGAGGCTGCTTCCTCTGCACTCTCAGCCTGCAGCTTCAGGACAGCTTTGGAGGTGATCACCTTGAAGAAGGCAGGTCCCCCCAGGCTGGTGTCCGGAAGGATGTCCTGGATGGTTTCGATGCCGTAACTGTTGCTTAAAATTTTATCGTTGTTCTTGATTTTAAAGCACTTGAGAGTTTCTAGAGACAGGGAAAAAATAAAAGGGACCCAGGTCTTGTCCACGTCCACGTACAGCACAGCCTCTTTTATTGCATCCAGCTCGGGGTCGTGAACTGGAGCCCAGTCCAAGCTGCTCCCAGGGATGTCAGTGTGCTGGGCAGCGCCCGAGTCGCCCTGGACGGGCTGCGCTTCGCCGTCCTCGGGACACTCCAGCGTCTCCCACTCGTCCTCCAGCTGCGGCCGGCACTTGTGCAGCGCCTCACGGATCCTGTCCAGCCAGTCCTCGGCCTCATCCCGGGACGGAGCTCTCAGGGAGAGCTTCTTTCCCAGGAACACCAGCTCGAAGCGGCCGTCGGAGTGCGTGAGCGCCAGCGACTCGCAGCGCAGCAGGGAGTAGGTCTCGACGCAGATGCGATCCTCGTGGTCCAGGAAGAGCCGGAGCTCCAGCGGGGACAGCTCGCAGGAAAACTCCTTCCAGATCCCCATGGCTCCTCTCCGCTCCAGGCTGCCCAGCTTCAGGAGCCCTCGGAAGGGGTTGGAGAGACCTGGGGCAAAAGATGTCTCGGTTTAGCCACAAGAAGGGGGAGGCAGAGAGAGAAGAGCCAACGGGTGCTGGCAGTGAGCACAGCAGAGCATGGCAGCTGGTCCTGGTGGGATGGGGCAGGAGCTGACAGGACCTTAGTCTCCATCACCTGTCCACCAGCATTTGCGTTTCTGTCCACCTGCATTTGGGTTTCTGTCCACCTGCATTTGGGTTTCTGTCCACCTGCATTTGGGTTTCTGCCCACCAGCATTTGGGTTTCTGTCCACCAGCATTTGGGTTTCTGCCCACCTGCATTTGGGTTTCTGCCCACCAGCATTTGGGTTTCTGTCCACCAGCATTTGGGTTTCTGCCCACCTGCATTTGGGTTTCTGCCCACCAGCATTTGGGTTTCTGTCCACCAGCATTTGGGTTTCTGCCCACCTGCATTTGGGTTTCTGCCCACCAGCATTTGGGTTTCTGCCCACCTGCATTTGGCTGAGGCTGGGAGTGAGTGGGACAGCATAAAGGAAAGGTGTCCCCTGCAGGGTGGACAGCCCCCCAGCATTCCCTCTCTCCCACTAAAGTGCTCCCTAGCAGAGCCAGGAGGGCTCAGCAATGCCTTGGGAAGCTGCTCCACTGCTTTCTGCAGCTCTCAGTGCTGCCAGCAGCTCGGAACTGCTGCCCAGAGTGCCCCGAGGCCGGAGCTGGCGGAAGCAGGAGGTGGCACTCACCCATCTGCCGGCGGTGCACCACGCTGAAGCCTTTCTGCTCCCGCTCAGGGGACGTTTTGGGCTGCCCACTCTCCGAGGAGGGCACTGACAGCCTCTCCAAGTCGAGAGCACTGATGAGCCCTGGGGCTGTCCCCTCGCCATCCTCCTCTGGCCCAAAGCCGTTGGTGTCGGCCGTGCTCCCGCCGCTTTCCCCTGGGGAAGGTCTGTAGAAATCATCTTCTGAGATCCAGCTCTTCCTCTTCTGTGGGAAAATCAAATATATCCATTATCAAACTTATCAAACACACACATCCACAGCGACCCCTCCTCAGGAGCTGCTCCCACACAGACTGAACCACCAGCACTGCTGTGTGGGATCTACTGGAAGGTGTCCCTGCCCCTGGCACGGGGTTGGAATGAGATGAGCCTTAAGATCCCTTCCAACCCAAACTTTCTGGGTTTCTAGGACTCTCTGCTGGCCATTCCCCACCTTGTCAAACAGACCAGAGCACTATGTGCCACACTCAGCTGTTCCTTGAACACCTCCAGGGATGGTGACCCCACCACCTCCCTGGGCAGCTCCTTCCAATGCCTGATACCCCTTTCCACGAGGAAATTCCTCCTGAGAGGATCAAGGCTCTGGGACAAAGTCCCTACACAAACACGAGGAGCAAAGCATGACCCAGCTCTGCCCTGGCACAAGGAAGCAGCACCCCTAGACCCAGCACAGTCCTCCCAGGGTGGTATCCCACCAGGAACATCTGCCCAACTCCCATTCCTGGTTTTCCAAGAGCCTTTAATTCTGAGTAACAAACTGAGAGCAGAAGAGCTGTCACCACCCCGTGATGGTGGTGGTGCAGCTCCCGGATTACTCCCG